ATTTTCCATTTTACATATACACTTCCATAAATTAAAAGGAATGAAGTTATTATAGTTAATATATGCAAATCGTTATCAAATCGTATATTTTCCTTTTCTTCCATTACATGTGTGCGATATATATAAATAAATATATAAACTATGTTACATGCGTTATATGCGTCTCTAATTATTTTTCCCTAGCAAATTTCAATTGAACGTAAAGCCGACACGTCAGTTTAATTGATATGCTAATTGATTGACAACTAAGCAAGGTTACTTTTTAATTAATACAAACTTGAGGTTACATCTTTTCAAATGTTTCTCAATTAATATATAGGGGATTTATCTAGAAACCAATTAACTTAATTCACGCACCTCACGATCGTTTTTTTTTTTTTTGATCAAACCACATTTCATTCAAACCAAAGTTCAAAAACTCCATTCAAGGAGGACATACAAGGCAGACTAGCCAGAGGATTTGCCATATAACAAACACAATACAACATAAAAACAGATAAACTCTCTAAAGATAAGATAAGGGATCGAACATCAAAAGACCAACTCTCTGAAAGGAGGCAACTGAGTTCTCGACAATCTGACTTGCAGACAAGCTTGGAAATGCTCAATAGAATGACTGCAACTTGTGCGTCAAAAGGAGCTAGACAATCTGCAACAATGGCAGTGAAGTCATAATAAAACCAGTAGGAAAAATCTTGCACTACTGGAAAATCTTGAGCCTTCAGATACAAGTTCTTAACGGAACCATAGAAACGAGAAGCTACCATCAACAACTTTGGAACATAAACGGATTCCCATCATTGTTTCTCCATAGAAAGTGAAACTTCTTTCTCTGTAAAACTTTAATTATTTCTTCTCCTTCCTCCTTGCATTGGATGGAGATTTATTGAAAAAAAAACTGACAATAATAGATAACGAATATAGCCAGTTTTGTAACTGCAATTTTTTAAGGTGTGCTTATAGTATAGCTTGGAATGATCTTAAAGACAGTTAAAGCAATTTAATACTCAAAAAAGTTTTATAAACATTGACGATTTGATTCATCTGCAACTCTTCACGATTCATATATACACAAATCAGCAACTTCCAAAACGCCACATGGCACGAGAGCTACCAACTTAAACGAGGCCAAAACTCAAAAAAAAAAAAGCTCATCACATGAATCCAACAAGAGGAATGGGAACATCAGCGTAACTATTCCGGCGACCATCATGAACCGCCGAAAGCGCTGGTGGAGGTTTACGGAAAGCTTTTTCTACTGATTCAGCCACGGTGGCTACAAAAACGACGCCAATCTTCACTAATTCGATGCATATCTCTAGCTTTTGAGACACCATATTGTGTTTGAATTGTAGGAGAAATCTGAAAATGTATTTTTCTTCTTATTTTGGCTTGTGTCCTGCGCTTTTTGAGTTCTTTCTCTCTATGTTTTCCGCGTCTCCAGAACTTGTCTTTGTGACTTGTGAGGTCTTACTTGCAAAAGCAGAGTTATATTTATACACATTCACACCGAACCATACAATCTCATTCGTATGGATTATGATAAATTTAATATTTGATTTATAATATTCCAGGTGGCGTTTGGTTCTTAGCAAGTTTTCTCGGAAGGTGCTTTATTGTACTGTGGTTTATCCGAAGAGCCAAATATTCTTTGGGGGCATCTATTTACTTACATGTGTGTATATACATGTCTAACGTATATATTTAATATAGTAGGGCATATATTGACTTGTATATATATGTTTTCAGTATAACTAGATCTCGACCCGCACAACCGTGCGGGTATTTTAATACGAAAATATTTGAAATTATATAATACTCACTCCGTTTTAAATAGATGTTGTTTTATAAGATTTAATTTATTTCAAAATATAAGATGTTTTGAGATTTTAAGGTATATTTTGACGTTTTAAAATTATCTTTAACTTTATTGGAAATTGTTCAACCAATAAAATTTTACTCTTTTTTAATAATTTGTTGAATAATTATAAAATTATATCTTTAAAAATACTTTTGTAAAAGAATGTAAATTTCTTAATTTTTGTGCTATGATCCAAAACATCATATATTAAGTAATGGAGGGAGTAAAATTTATCAATAAATAAATATAATTTGATTGTATATACTATCCAATTTTATAATAATATTTATGTAGCTAATAATATTATTAATTTAAAATTTACAAATTTGTCTTTTTGTAATAATTTTTAAAAACATTATTATGTAACATTACTAATTTATATATATTTTGTTTTATTTCTAAATTTTAAATATATAAAAAGTAAATTAAATTGGACCTACATAATACATAAACAAATCTTTGGGATATTGTTAAAAGTATATTACATATCTTTTGCTAAAAAAGGAATTAAATAAATTATATTCTGTGATAATTAAATTTTTAATCAAATAATATTTGGAACTATATCTTGAAAGGATTCTATAAGATTTTTAAAAGATTTTGTTAGAATTTTCTTAAAATTATTTATTTGTATTTCAAATAAAAATTAAAGATATGAAAAGATATTATAATGATGTTATATTATATAAAATTTCTAAGATGGTCCAAACTTAAAAATCACACATGAAGTGAGTCATGACTTCTCTTTTAATATAATAGATTGTTCTCGATACAATCATGCAGGCAAACGTTTTGTTGTACGTATATAGAAAAGAGGAATATATATCCAAATTCAGTCACGAAATTTATGCCAAATATATAATGACTAATACCAGGATATCCATCAACGATAATTAGCTAAATTAATCCTCTAAATCTATAATTAGAGAGATTTTCCTATAACTAAATGTATCCTGAAGTCGACAATTGATTTGTTGTATAGTTTAGGATTCATATAAAGAGATCACAAAAGATTTCCTTGAAAACTTAGGTTAGTTATGATTTTTTTTCTATCTTATATGTATATTTAACATACGGGGTTGGTTGATATAGATGAGGATGAAAATTCTGCACCAATAGGAGTGTAGAACACGGGGACATCAAGACAATTTTATGTTGGCTTTCACTGAAATTTCAACAAAAATTCTGACCAACTTGCGTGGATATATAAAGACATTCACGTATACATCAGTAACATCACATGATGTAAGTTGATACTTTATTATGAGGAATCAAATTGTTATCAATACAAAAGATCAAAAAGTGTTGATCGATAAAGTGCATAAGAGATATTGATTCTTTATTTCTTTTATTCTGAATGATTGACAGTTGTTTATCCCATAAACTGGAATCTATGTGTCATATAAGTTTGTGATATTTGCAAATAACAACATTGCTTGTTGCTAAAACAATCCTATTATTCAGATCTAATCTGGAGCCAACCTAAATCAAACCTACCCAAATTATTGAATAAAAAAGGTCCAAACTACTTAATGAAGAATAACAGTTTGTTTCAGTGTCTAAACTTTCATTAATATATATATAGCTAAAACAATCACTAACTAAGCCTTAGGAAAGCAAAGTCACTCGAAAACATGAGAATTAAGGGTCTTAAATAACAAATCAAAGATCAAGGTGATTAAGTAATTAAACTTAATTCGTGGGATTGAAAGGAAATTCAGTAGAGTAGTCGATGGAACGTAGCACCAAACCCACAAGATGCATAACTGAGAAATATTAATACTGAAACTTGCTGCGACTGCAAGGAGCATCTAAACTATTGTTTCTTACACTTTAAATATCAAGCTTAACTAAACAATTAACCAAAATTATCTAACCATATGTTTTAAGAATCCGTGAGAGGCATGACACGTGTTTTTGTCGTAGTTGTTATTTGTTAAAGTCCCTCCAACCTTTATCTTTCAAAATCAAATGTAATGTTATCTCTCACTAGTGGTAATATTTTTGAAAATGTTTAGTACCTAAGTAAACTGGAAAACATTTAAAAGGTAACCTATAGGCAGCATAGAGAATCTCATTTCCAGATTCCAATTCATACAAAGTGATGACTACATCATGAATATAGTATAAACTCGCTTAGTTAACTTTTTCATTTTGTTTGTTTACTTGTGGCTTTAGTGGATTTCAGATTCAGATTATTGGTGTATAACAAATAACAATACTCAGTTTAATTTAATGAAGCCGAATAGAATAATTATTGGGTTCATCCCCTAAGTTGAACCTTTAAGTTCACCGACCAATAAAATTTCGTTATTTTATATTCAGTATCTTTTTAAAAAAGAAACAAAATATTGTCAAGTTATATTCACTACAAGAAAACTCGTCCATTACTAAGACGAGTTTTCTTCATTATTTTCTAGTAAATTGTCTTTTACTAGGAAATATCGAGGAAACGCGTTTCCTCGAAACACGTTTCCTCGAAACACGTTTATCGTAAAGTCTTTTTCCTCGTAAGGTCCTACCGAAATTACGAGGAAACATTTCCTCGTAAAGGCGTGGTTAGATTTTCCTCGTAAGGTCCTCGTAGCATTTCCTCGTAAGCTCGTAGTAAGATTTTCCTCGTAAATTCGTAGTAAGATTTTCCTCGTAAACTCGTAGTAATACGTTACGAGGAACTTACTAGAATCAATTACGAGGACATTACTTGGAAACCATTAAGAGGATTTTTCTTCAAAATGTTTTTTCCATATTAAAAAAATTAATTATAAATATAATTAATTTACTTTTTTTAAAAAAAAAATCAAATTATAAATTAAAAAAAAACAAAATATTTTATAAATAACTAAATAATATACAAAAAATTTTAAAATTCATAATATACAATTAAAAATAAAAAAACTACGGATGCTGGTCGTGAAATTGGCGAACGAACTCGTCCTGGCTCGCCAAATCCTGCTCCTCTCCATAGTTGGTTGCCGACTGTGACTGTGATGGTGGATGCTGTTGGGTTGGAATCCCTCCGCGTTCCCGTCTCTGACGCAAGATCTCCTCCAATTGCGGGTTTCCAACCGCCATAATGTCGAGGACATCGGTGAGAGAAGTCACATGCTCGGTGAGCGAAGCCAACTGCGAGCGTAGCTGAACATTGACATCGTGCTGCTCCTGATGATAAGACGATGTCGCTGCAGGGACATCGTTAACTGAGCCAATCCCGACGATACGCCTCTTTTTCCTAGGGGGGACCTGTAAATAAAAATATTAATAACATTAAGAAAAAATTAAAATAAATAATAAAAATTAATAGTAAAACAAATTATTTACCTCCTCGTAAATCTTATCCACTTCAACAGTGGATAATATGACTGGAGTCCCAGTCTGCTGAGTCAGCTGGGTCTGGCGTTCATCAACTCGGGCAACAATCTCGTTGTAGATCCGCTCGGAAGCAGGATCTACAAACTGCCCAGCCTTGTTCCGGTGGGTACTCTCGTAAAGGTCTTTCAGAGATGGAAGAACACGTGTCTCTTTAGCCTAAAAGTAATTTTTAAAATTAAATATTAATTTGGAATATTGAAATAAAATAAAAATTAAATAGTTTTTAAAAATCATCTTACCATGTCTAGACGAACTCCCCCGTGAGGTTTTTGAGCCGTGGTGTGAAGCATCTTCGTGTTGCCATGCTCGTCTCTGGTCATGCGGTTCTCGGAGTTTGTGTTGGAGGTTCTGACCGAGTCCGGCAACCCCCACTCGCTGATGAGGCCATCCCACACCGTGGTTGTGAGGCAATCGGGTTTCCCGTCCTCGTAACCATCCACCTGATTTAAAAAAAATAGAATTAAAGTCAATAAGATTTTTTAAACTATATATATATTATAATTTATAAATCTATACCTGATAGTCGCCCTTCCA